AAAACTATGGAAAAAGAGAAATCTCCAACGAGGCGTTCTGGGGCAGCATAGACAGGTCTTTTCTGTGTTAGAGTTTTACTCGCTACAGGGTGTACTTTGAGGGTTTGTGACTTTGCAGACTGTTTACATGGATAAAAAGCTACATAACACACAAGGGGAAGGGTAATAACCGGAAAAGCATGACATGTCTCCTTTAAGTTGCTAACACCCTCTGGCTGATTACTATTTAACTGGGGGAAATGTAGACGGGTCGATAAAATCCCTTTAACCACCTAAACTGTGTTTCCGATATGTTGGTATTATCTTTAATCTGATTGAAAGGGCTTTTACAGCATATTTAATCTTCTTATCACACTGCCATACAATAGGGCCTGAGGAAAGCAATACAGTGCATGGCTATGCTGATGTTGGCATAAAGTTGGTGTAAATGTAATACCAAGAACTTTTGATTGTGACTAGAAAAGCTTACACGTGTGGATTCATTTCTTTACAATAGAGAAAATCAGCATCAGCCATTGTGTGTGTCCTTAAGGTCTAACTAACACGTCGAGTGCAGTTCCCCCAATCTTAAACATCTTAAAGGGGCCCTATTATGCTAATGTTCAGGTTCATATTTGTATTTTATAACTCTGTGACGTGTTTTCTGCTTAAAGGTAGGGCAGGTAAGAATGGAGAAACCAGCTCGAGTGTGCTAGAATTTGAAAGTACGCAGCCGAAAAAAATCTGCCCCTTCCTTCAGACTTCCTTACAGAGCCCCTCCTCCAACACACACGAACGCGCACATGACCAATGAGGGCACGAGATAAGTTTGTGCACGAGATGGAAGGCTGACAGGCAGGTAGGCCATTGTGCTTTTTACAGTGCTACGGCTTCCACAGTCCACAGATGACATTTTTGTATGTATTTATTGTCAAAGCATTTAATGTATTCATTGCCATCAGGATGTTAAGAGCATTCCATGGAATATAACAAAACGTGTTTCTGAAGTGAATTACCTACCCTACCTTTAAATGTACAAAAAACCCTTTATTTTTCTCAAAGTGCCTATGCTGCAGCACCTGTCTGAAACCAGAGCCCAGTCTGCTCTGATTGGTGCGCTGGCCGGCTCTGTTGTGATGACTTTTAGAGATGTCCCGCCCCTCAGCCTTTCACGTACAATTTAGAAATATGAGTGTGAGATAGTGATGTCATTATGTTATGAAAGTAAACAAAGGAGTCTAATGGAAGCGTTTTCAGGAGAACCTCCTTCTGGAGGAAACAGGGATGTTAGCGTTTGCAGACCAATTACACGCACACAAATCTATAACACACTACAGGATAAGGAAAACCCAAAAAGCATGATAGGGCCGATTTGAAGGTTTGCATAATGAACATCTATGTTTACTTGCTAGCAGGCCCCGTCTTACTTCAGTTAACAACAACAATCCATGCTTAATAAACTGATTTATTTGGCCATTTACTTACATATAAATAGTTAAAAGTTCAAATGTAGAAATGTAAAATGTGTAACTGTTCTCTCAGTCGTCATCCTCCTCCTGGTCGTCTGTGTCGTCCTTCTCTTCCTGGGCAGCCTGCTCCTCCTCTAAAGCTTCCTTCAGCACCTGCTCCTCCTCCACCGACGGGTCCAGGGCCTCTGTGATCTCCGGTCCACTGGGATATTCTTTCTGTGGTAGTGGGGGGACGGCTTGGCTGAACCCTTCCCCTGAGTACTTCAGACCCCATCCAACGTAAATGTTCTCAAACTTCCTAAATGAAGAGACAGAGCATGGTTGTTAAGAATAGCAACATTGCCTTCAGGAAACCCAGAAAGTAGGGGGATTCAGATCTTTTGACTTACTTTCCGGAAGCGTATGAATATGCCCCTGGCCAGAGGTTAGAGCGCAGCACAGCTAGAGCGTGCTGAGAGGTGAGGACGGAGGACATCTTGGAGGTCCAGGGAGGGATGTTGAGCATTTCTGAGGGACACCAATATTACAAATACTTTTATAAACTCATTAGGCAATGAGTAAAAGTAGTAATAACACAGTGTAGAAATACTCTGCTAGAATTTAAAAGTACTGCATCCAAACTATTGCTTAAGTAATGCCATCAAAATAAACTATATGTACCAAAACAAAAGTATTATGCAAAATGTTTTTTGTAAAAAGTGAAATATTTGCCCCAAACTTGCATTTGAGTGGAAGTAGAAGTGGGTCTCATGGATATGAGCAGCACTCAGGGAATATAACCACCTGTGAGAAGTTAGTGTGGGAGAGGCGCTGAGTGGGTTGCTCTATTTTGTTCAACTTTTTGATAACTGGATTATCAGGACCAAATGTTTGTGCACTTCATGATAAATTGAGCTTTTTCATTTTATTAAGATTTGTTCCAAACATTTTTGGATCAATACATTTTTGATGAATCGCGTCAACCTCAGCGGCTTATGTTTGTTCCTTTTATGTTGGGTGCATTTTTGTAATTGCCTGCGCACCTCTGTGTGAATATGCTCACCACAGAAACAACATTTGCTTCAAATAAAAAGAGAGGACAGACGAGCAACAAAGTATTTTGTTAAAGGAGGATGAAAGCGTAATTAAGGAGCACTATTGGAGTGACTTTGATGGTTATTGGACTCAGGATTAATTCATTTGGATGCCCGCTGTATGAAGAAATTAAAGGACGGCGCAAGTGGAAACAATTCACAAAGGGATTCAACTGTTTAAAACACATGCTCAAAGTAAGCCGGATTTTGCCGATGTGTTTATGTGGATTCAAAAGTCGTAAATAATCTACAAAATGGAGGAGAACGATCTGATCGGAGCAACCGTGACAAATAATCTGAAATTATCATGTATTGCTTTACAATTATATGTAAAAAAAAAAAATTAAAGAAATAAAAAAAAAAAGTCTAAATATGATATTTGGCCTCAAATCATCTGAGGCCAGAGGCCTGATCTTTGGCACCCCCCCCCCAAGCGGGGCGCGCCCCCCAGGTTGGGAACCACTGGGCTAGAGGATGCCTTTATTGATCAATGTGGCGTTGACGTGGGGGGACAGAGGAGAGGACATTGCCTAATGGGTTGAAGAGTACTGAGCAATGGAGATCGTGTATGGGCCGCCACCTCTAATCTGATATATTGTGATTTTAAGGGTGTCTATTATCATCTGGCCGGGGACAACAGCTGGAAACTAGCCACGCTGGCTAAAGCTGCCCCATTGACTGTTTTCTGTGATAGTTGATCAATGGGGACTGTCCACGACACTATAAACAAATAAACTAAACTAAACCACTGAGCTATTCAGAGGCCCCCAAACAAGAATATTCATAACAGAAGCAACATTTTCTATATTATTGATATCATTTAGCTTACCACCTGTAAGCTGAAACCTTCTGTATGTGTTTGCATGTGAGAATAGATGAGGAGGCAGCAGCCTGTGGTGCATTTACAGGTGTAAGGCAGCAGCAAGGGAAGTAGCAGATCCCCAGTGAAAATTAAATCTCATTTGGGTTTTGCAGAAAGATTTCCAAAGACAAACCTGCATCTTGGGAGAGGGGTGTGAGCAGAGGGGGTCCAACTTCTGGCTCAGGCTCATCAGGCTCCTCTTCCTTCTCCTCACCCTCTCCTTCCTCATTGGAGTCATCTCCTGGTTTCACAGCAAGGTTCACCCACGTACAGCGACCCTAAAGCAGTCCACACTCAGGCATCAAATACAGCTGAGAGAACGCTCCATCCACCTGCCTCCATCAGACCTACCTGCTGCAGGATGTGCTGAACATGATGCACCCAGGTGGACAGAGACTCGGCCATCTCAGCAACCGGAACACCCTCAAAGTCTGGATTCACTTCGAAGCTGTCCCGAGGGGCCTCGTCTTCCTCATCACCTTCCTCCTCCCCGGCCTGGTAGAAGCCCTGGGGGCTGACCTGAGTGCCGGCAGAGATCCGAGCGATCTGCGCTCTCAGGTAGTTGGCTTCGTTCCCGGGGAAAGGTGGGTAGCTGACTATGGGGGTGTCCAGCGTCCCTGTGAAGAACTTACGGATCTGACGAGCACCGGTGATCTGTGCTGGACTGACTGAAGGGAGCTTCACCCAGGGAACACCGGGCTCTTTGCACACATAAAAAGCAAACTTGTTGGCACCTGTTCCTAGGGCCTCCTTTGGCACTGTTGGGGGGGGTCTATAGGCGGATTGAGGAAGGGGATTCATCTGAAAGCAAAGCCCCCCATAAGACCACAATAATTACAGATCAAGACGAAAGGATGGAGCTTATTTAGCATTTGCCACAAACAGTTCAAACAAGACAAATCAGGAAAGATGAATAAACATACAGATAAGAAAGAATGAAGAGGATCTGTTACATTGATTAAAAACATTCCCCTTCCTCACCTCCTTCTCTACGTCTCTCTCCTCATCCTCTGCTGCTTCCTCCGTGCTCTCTTCCTCTTCCTCCCCCTCCCTGTACTCAGCTTCAGCCACGATGTAGCTGCTCTCTGTCCCCAGGATCTTGCCCCACAGTCGGCAGCGCGGCAGCCCCTGGCTCTCAACAAGCTGCTTGAGTGCAAGGAAGACCCTCTGCATCTCCTCTCTGCCCAGACCCACCCCAGCCTGCTCCAGGTAGAAGGCAACCTCACTCACATTAGGAAAAGGTGTGTCCATCTGTTGAAGAACAAGAAACAAGGTTCAACATTACATTTGTTACGTGTTTGTGTTGCTTTTCTCTGTCTGTCTGCTGCGCAGGTACACCTGGTCCGCCCCTGGCTCCGCCTCCCCCAGGTGTCCTAATGACATTCAGCTGGGGACTTAAAAAGGAGAAGCTGGAGGAGAAGAGGTCTCCCATTGCCAAGTGTAGACCTCAATATACAAAGGGAGTTAAAGGAAAAGAAAGAACTACCAGTATGGCGCATAGTCCAGAATTATTTTGCAAGATATCACTCAGACTCAACAATCA